ATGCTATGCCACCTGTACTATAAGATTCCATTGCGCTCTCGTCTGCACGGCGTTCTATGAACACCGTTGCCTTGGACGTTCCGAAATTTCTAGCATGATAAATATCAACCCCCGTACCCTAATACCCACGTTCTGGCCCGCGACGAGTCTGTTTGCCACTTTCAATGCGTCAGTGATCCGGTTATTTGAGCTCTGGCGTTTCGCGCCGGGACCACCAAAAGTTCTAGTTGTCACTTAACCATAAATACCTAGTTGTGGTCGTGTGCGGTAGGGAAGCTGTAAGAGTACTGTAGAATAGGGTGAGAGTGGTATGGATGCTGCTTGGTGGAAAACAGTATATCCTTTAGCATACAACTATACTATACTAAGCCATACCGTCTTTTCATAATTTCAAAGCAAGTTAAAGAGCTCGATTCGACTTTTAAGGAAATAGAAGAGAACATACCGACGGTGAATGCCGTTAGTCCAGCCTCTTTCCACACAAATGAACTACAGCTGATATCAAATTCTGTGATCAGAGAAGTAGAGTATTCCGGGTCTTTTATACTGAAAGAACCGTAGGCAGTTCGTCTTGGGTAAAGGGATTCAAGAAGCAGTAAAAGGTTCTTAACAGTAAGTTTCTCATGATGACTCACGTAAGACTTGTCCCTGGAGCTACACCGCATACTCCACTCGGCGATCCTTCGCTATCAGCCGTTATTTGGCAGCTTTCATCGACGGGTAAAGATTTATTCTTCAAAAAAAGTACAGAGAGGAATCTCTGCAAAACTTCAACACAAGTCAGTGCCTTGAAATGGCATTCCCAAGTCGGTTGGAAAACACACTACGTGGAGGGGACATTTCCCTATATGCATGGTAGACAGGTTAGCAGCCGCAAGAATGCGTCAGTTTCGCCATTCTGCTCCTGAACTTATGTGCTAAGAATACGCCACATTAGCCTCAATTAAGTCCGCCGAACACTATCTCGAGGAGAGATCGCAGGTAGTCATAGTTATTACTAGCCCGCGGGGCATATGGAATGGCAGGCGGAAAATGAAGAACATCCAGCTCTAGCCTTCGCAACGCAATCTCAACTGTAGGAACTGGAGGAGTATGCTCTTGCAGCTGCGAACCTGCATATTGTCCACGGATAGGACCCTGCCCGTCCTATTTCCTACTCTAGTTTCTCACAGAGTTTTCAACGGTTTCCTCTAGTTTTTCTCTCACGGGCAAGAGAGCAAGTGCACACTACAAACACACTTCCGTTCCGCAGCGACGCTTACGATCTTCCGATCGCGGAATATGACTGTCAATGAACAAGCGATGAACCATGTCCGGCGAAACTACGCTTTTCTCCACAAAAGTTATCGCATCAGGTTACTTTATGATGTAGACGATACAGCGGCTGGTAGAGCCACTGCTCAGGGAAGACGCAAAGTTGAGCGCCAAAAACGTGAACGCCGGCGTTGTTCGCCTCATATAAAAAAGCCGGGGCAGATACCAGGTCAAGGAGGGATAGAAATATCAAAATTTTGTTCACTTACCTTGTAAACACAACCGAGTATAGGATTAGGCTCTACGTACGGCATCACGTACATCGCCGCCGAGTAGAAGAAGTTCAAGCATTCCGAGAGAAAGTAGCCAAAGAATTGGTACCTGTACAACATGGTCTCAGGAGGCCGTCACTATTCGCATTTCGCGATAACACTATTTGACAAAAGAAAAGCTGACGTCCATCCGAGTTATTCTTGTACGACCTCTCTACTCTCCAGCAACCAAATATGACCCCCTTTGGAGATCCCCAACATACGACGTGCACTGGTTTAATATGGTAAGAGATCTGATAAGAGATCTGTCTCTGATGGTAGCTCGTCCGATCCCCCATCCGCTTAGAACCTCCTGCCCGGACCTCCGCACTTCGGACTTTGCCGAAAGATTTGAAAGCCACCTCTGGAGTAGCCAAATCTGCCTCATGTGCCACTGCTCATCCAAACTAGGGGAGGGGGCACAGGGCAAATAATAGTGTCAATGTATCGATGAACGTTAAATGAGCGCACCTTCCAAAACCATACGCGTCCAGTAGTTTGTCCGGATCGAGATCTACGTAAGGATTTGGATGCCCAGCGTGATCTTTTGATACATCCTTCAGCAACTGCTCGTCCTCTTGGTCACTTTGCGTTCTATCCAAATGCTTGTCGTCGTGAGTACTTCGTGAGGGCTCCACCTGTAATAGAACGGCTCGCATTCTAAAGGCAGTACTTTGGAACGGGTTCGGAGGTCGCCGCGATGTTTTTTGTTCTGAACGACCTCGGGCCAACGAAAATACTAGAATTTAGCTTGCAAGAGAGGTAATACTTCAACTGTAGAGACAACCCACCATGGTGGAGAATCGAGTTAAAGTGAATCGTAAAAAGAGGATTAGCGGGATCACAAGTTTGATAACCGCAATTATCTGGGACTCCCACAAGAATGAGGACACTATGGCATCGTCTACAAGCAATAATCATAGGGCTTCAACCATTTCGCAGCGAATCAACTCTAAATTGCCTTTTACATGCCGTAATCCGTCGCTAGCCGTCGTTAAGGACGATTCCCTGATCCGTGATTCGATGTGGGACCGAACCGACTTCTGTGGTCCGGTTCGTCTTCCCGCTTGTCTCCCACTCTTCCATCCTTTGTCTCTGGTCTCTTGTCCGCACATTAGTGTATCATCACTCGGTATAGTCATCCTATCCTGACCCTTGATTACGGCGTATTCGACGCTTTTCTCGTTTTTTTTTATTTTTGCTCCGGCTGTTAGTATCCACGAGTTCACATGAGGACCCCAAGCCCAGATTGTCATTGCGCAATACGAAGAAGCAATGATCTCTGCAAAGGCGAAAATTGCTTTCATGCATAATACAGCTACCTCTGCCTGAGAGTCCTACAGTATCCAGGCCCAGTTCATTGTTCAACCTCTTCGATTGCGACTGTAGTTGTAGAAAAGCAGATAGGCAGTTATCACAAAACTGAGGTGAAGTACGGGCACGGCGCTTGCCTCCACCCCGAACTCGTAACTGCACCGTTGTCGGGCTTGCACCGCTTGGCAACAGCGAGGCACGTCATACCTTGTTTTTTTCCAGTGAGGGTCGTATATAGTTGCTGGAGGGGAAGGAGCGGTGTCTAGTCTTCAAGCAGAGTATACCTCCCCAACTTTTAATTGGCGGCGCCGCAATCTACCGTTTCTGATAGGTGTCCCTTCCCAAGGTTTTTCTGCTTTTTCTTTACTATCGAATACTCAGCACCCCTCCCGATGGCAAATTTTTGGCGAAAGCTCGTACTTGAAAGGACAGCTGTGGAAGGGTCTCGCACCGGAAAAGAAAATTCGGAGGGACCGCGCTAGGACTTTTCCCGAACAATAACCATTTCGCGGATACCTCAGCATTTTTGTGACAGCCTTCAGATAGCAAGTATGATCCCAGGAGTTATCAAAACGTCTCTTGAGTATATACTTATACTGTCTAATATTTATTAAGCAGGGTGTAAGTATAGTAAGGCAAATGAAATTTGTATTGACAATATCATGAGAATTAGCCTTCACGCAATAGAATCGGAACGTCTTC